CAGTTACTTTTTCCCCCACGTCCCGCACCCGTCCATGACCTCGCAGAGCAGCACGTCCATGGGCGCCCGGGCCGCGTCCTCGTCCACGTCGCCGCAGGCGCCCTCCACCCTGCCCTGCGAGTCCCTAAGACCCTCGCTGCCGAGCTTCACGACGGGACTGTCCGGGGGACTGTCCGATTATTTCACACATCAGAACCAGGGGTCTTCCTCCAACCCTTTAATACATTAACGTCCCCGGGACCAGACTGTAAGTGAACGTTTTACACACATTTGCATTGTAAATGATAATTACGTTTGTTCAGTCTTTAGGGTTGTTGATTATTCTAACAAGGTGTGGAGTGTCAGCGAGGTGCAATGTGGGGAGCATACATTGTAGAATATGAAGTTTGGAAGTCAAAATTTTAGTAGAACGTGTATCTAAATAGTGACTGCTTTGCCATTTCATTCAAACCTGACAAGTCTCAGAGCCGCCAGATGTCCATGTGTGCAGTATTATAAGTTATCATGGACCTACATGGTGGACGCAGACCTTGAGAACAACCTAAATTATGGGGAGAGTTTTTAAATGTTAAACTGTAATTTGTATTTAAGAAGCATTCGTAGTAAAGGTGCCCAAGAAATTATTTTGGCCGTTTATTGTTTTGTCCTTTTCTTTTTAAAAACTGTTTTTTTCCTTTTGTTTACTTTTAGACCAAAGATTGGGTTCTAGAAAATGCACTTGGTATACTAAGTATTAAAAAAAAAAAAAGAAAGTTGTTTCAGTTGGCAGCACTGCCCATTCAAATGAATTGGAAGGGGACAAAATTAATGATTGCCTTCAGTTTGTGTTGTGTATATTTTGATGTATGTGGTCACTAACAGGTCACTTTTATTTTTTCTAAATGTAGTGAAATGTTAATACCTATTGTACTTATAGGTAAACCTTGCAAATATGTAACCTGTGTTGCGCAAATGCCGCATAAATTTGAGTGATTGTTAATGTTGTCTTAAAATTTGATTGTGATACTGTGGTCATATGCCCGTGTTTGTCACTTACAAAAATGTTTACTATGAACACACAGAAATAAAAAATAGGCTAAATTCATATATAACTTGATACTTTTGTCTCTTTTATTAAGTAGAGCTAAGTTCTAGAGAATTTAAAGGCTTTTTCAGCCAAATAAAATTTAAAAGCTCTTTTCATTTGAACTGAGACTTTAAATGAAAAGAGTATTTTTTTTCCATTATAGAATCAAATTTTACAAAGGAGCAGGCTATTTAATAAACACTAGCTTTAAACAAAATATAGCTTTTCAGCTGATATTTTTAAGTTTCTGTAGATGTACTCAAAAAGAGATAATTTAATGTGCATAGTTATTTACCCTGTGTTTATTTTCAAATCAGTCAATAGAATGCTTACTTTTTATATATTTTGTTTCAGGTATCTTGTTTATACCACTTGGCAAACTATAAATAAATGTATGTGGTTAGATCTAAGTGAATATAATGCACACAATATGTAATATATATAGACACACAGAGCCCTTCAGTTCAGGTAAAATTTGCGCTATGAATGCTGCAAATATTTTTGTTTAAATATTTGTATTTATACTAAGTCAGCATTTATTTTGGTCGTTGTTTACTCACAATGAAAGAGTTCTAATAAAGATGTGCTGAAGTTGCAATATAGATTTTGCTGAAGTGCTCACCTGTTGTAATGACTTGCAGACCAATGTTTACATTTTATTTTTAAATTATAACAATTTAAAATTCTAGAAGTTCAGAAGCAGTAAAATGCCTCTTTCTCATTTTCTTTCATTTTTGCAATGTAGAGGTATTTATTTGATTCCCTTTTAGATAAGTCTGTATAATCTAGGGATTTGTTTCTTTTGTTTACAGTCATAATTTTAACTTGTAACACACATATGCATGCATACATATGCATATACATACAAATCTGAAACAACATGAAATGATTTTTGAATTGTTTCAGCAGTCCAATTGCAATGAGTCCAGAAAATAATTATAAAACCTAAGTAAAAGGTTTAGTAACTAATTGGATCCTGTGGTGAGTCCATGGAGGACAAGTTGTTCATTTGTTACAATTGTATAGTCTGAAATGTGTTCTGCAGTAATGCAATAAGCTGGCGACTTCTTACAATGGGCCCAATGAAAAATAATCTGTCCCCAAGATGTTATCGGCAAACACTTAGAGAGTTGCTTAGGGGGGAAAAAATAAAGCCTACGAGAGAAGCAAGAGTGACTCAAATAGATTTGAAATAGAAATACAGCACAGTTAATATTGGAATATGGGGATGGATGGGTTTCGAATGGGGAGGTAGAAGAAGGAAGTGAGAGAGAAGGGAGAAAGGGGAAAAAAAGGATCTTTAAAGAAAAAAAAAATCCCCACAACCAAAGGAAAGAATGAGTAAGAAAGGGAGGTGTCTAAGAAAGACAGAAAGATAAGGGCCAGGATAATTAAAAGAGTTGGAACCAAATATGTACAAATAGGAAATGGACCTAATAGACTAAGACGGCTAGTTTAATTATCTCCTTTAAGCAGACTGGGCATGATTTTATTTTTTTTCATATGACAGCAATTTTACCAAAGGTCCAAGTTGCTTGAAATTTATCCGTTCTTCAGAATGAAGCATGAAAGAAAATCCCACAAATAAATTGTTTTAGAAGCCAAATTTATGGCTGGTATTAAAAATAGTGGTAGAGTCCAAGTGAATGAGGTTAGGCAGAGGAGATCCCCACTGATGCATTTGTGAACAGAAACAGCTGAAGGAAAAGCATGTGTTTAGACCGACAAAGGTGATAATGTGTTTGCTTTTATTGGGGGTTTTATTTGTGGAATGATAATGTACTGGTACCGAAGAAATATAGTCTTTTGCCAATCAAAAGTTGGAGAGTTGGACTCTTATACTGAGTTAAAAGGACATAGATCTGGAAGAAAGATTCCCTCCTTGAGTATTTTTTTTAGCCATATTAAATATCTATATTTTTGTGATAAGGGTTTATTTGCATGATGGAGAAATAGAATTTCAATGGCAAACATTATAGTTTGAAGTCAAGATTAAAACTGACTTGTTTGAATTCATAGGAACTAAGGACTAGGGTGGAAATTCTACTTGGATACATGTCCAAGTTACATATATAATGGGGGATAGAGAAATTTGTGAAGGCCTCCTGCTGCCCAATATGAACATTTCATTTATCTCAGTCTATCCTATCATCCTTCAAGTTATCTTCTTCAAAAATACATGACAATGTAGCGTGGCATTTAGATTTTTTTTTGCAATAAATTGATTGTAATACGGTGTTAATATTTATTTTCACCAATCTTTGCCAGTTAAAATCACCTTATACTAGGAGAAAAATTTCAGAACTTTTGAACTGTTTCTTCTTTCCTAGTTACAACTGTTTTCAATGAGATGAAATTGTTCTTTTTGAGATTTTGGAGCTAAAAATGATCACAACTTATAACTTGAAATTCTAAATTACGTTTTATTCCTAGGTTTAAAGTATTTTACTTGAATTTATCTGGTATAAAGTTACTATAAGTTACTAATATATAAAACATTAAGAACATGGCTTAGTTAGAGCAGGAAAGGCTTCTTCCAAATATGTTTCAAGATTTAATACAAATATCTTTATAGTTTCATGTGATTTCTATGACTTGCATAAAATCAACAGTAGATAGGCAAAAAGTGAATCTTGTTGTGTGTTGATTATATATGTTTAAGTTGCATACTTCACCCACATAGGTGGATAAATTGAATATATTCAGAATTCTAAATATGTAAATGTAATTTTTAAAAAGTGTATTTTCTACAGTATTGCTGAGGAGCTGAGATATTAATGTTATGACTAGCTAAAGTGTCTGGTTGTGTTTGGGGACAAAATGCCTGTTGGAGAAATAGGCTAGTAAGAGGTGAAGGTGAAGATCATTAGAGGTTTCAGAGCTGGCTGGGATGGGATGCTGGGGTTGTGTAACTGTGCCTAGAGGGCGGGGTTCCTGTACATTCCTACTTCACCAGATAACCTGCCCCCAACACCACTCCAGCTTCTGCCAGACAGATGGAACTCTCCAACATGATAATCTGCACAGCCACTCCAACAAGCAGGGTAGGTGAAACTCGCATTAAAATTCTACCCTCTTTTTTTTTTTCCCCTACGTGAAGCCAGATCCTGAAGATATGGAGAGAATAAGGGTCATCTAGATTCTCCTTTAAGTCATACTCGCCTGTCTGCATTCTCTCTAAAAGCTACCTACCTGTAAGAGTTCAAAGACACTGTCTTTCTCAGTACTTCATTTTCCTTTTTTGTTGTTGTTTTGTTTTGGTGTGCTTTTTCTTCTTCTTTTTTTTTCTTTCTTTTAAGGCTTTCTTTTCTCATCCCAACCATTCCCTATCCCTTCTCCAGGGCCACCCCTCCCCCAACCACCAGCAGTTAAAATAATCCACCTCTTAGTTTTGGCCCCTAAACCGACCTTTTCCCCACTGTAGCGATCAATTCGCCAGGACTTAGTCCTGAGGGTGTAGCTCCGAGGAATATGTGATGTATTGTTTGAGTCTATTTTCTTCGTTCCGATTTGTATCTGTTTTTTCCCTCCACCCAAGACTGCCCGAAGTTGTCTGAGGATGCGGAAGAAAAGATTTGCGGCCTGGGAGCGCTCCTAACCCCCAGATCGGTAAGTAAAAGTGATTTTCAGAAGGGTGGAGGGCTACCCCTGACCACTTTTGATTGAGGCTTAAACCACGACTTTGAGGTCCCTGGCAAAAGTGCTCCTGTTTTGTTTTGTTTTTATTTCCTTAGAGGAGTGTGCTATCAAGGAATTAGCTGAGGAAATGCATGCTTTTTCCATGTCTGCAGAAAGTCACTTTGCGTCCCTAAGTAAAGAGGGTGGAGACATGGCAAAGAGGGACGAAGAGAAACCAGGCGAATTTATATGGAGAAGGGTTAGTAGGAGACTGAAATAGGTCCCAAAGTGCAAAGTCATTCATGTCGTGGAAATAGGATTTCTGAGTCTAACCGCAACTGCGAGAATATCCTAACTGGACTTTCTTAACGTTTAAACCCGTAGGTATTTGCTCTCCTGTTTGAGACAAAGCTCTATGCTCTAGAGCCAAAGACTTACCTCATTAGAAAGTTCTGTTTTCTTTTCTTTTTTTGGGGGGGGGGCTCTTTTCCTCCCCATTTTCACACTAACATTGCCAGCCTCCCCTAGAGCTGGCCATCCACCCTCAGCTTTGTGGCCTGGGTTAGTCAAGCCCCCCCCCCCCCACCCACACACACACACACACACA